TATTTCGCTGCAAAGGAAAGATTATGATAGCCAACCATTAACAGCTTTTGATCAGCAAAATGAGTAGTGGTTATTCAGCCATGAATTCCATTGGTTTTTGTTTTGCTTTGCTTCAAAAGGTTGTGTGATATTTAGATGACACAGAATCAAATGATTTGTCACCCTACTTTGTGCTCGATTAAAGGTGATGACACTGTCGGGTCAGAACCATACTTTCCCTGGCTTTGCCATCATCTTATCCACAGAAGATTCATAACAAAGAACAGCTGTTGTTCTGCAACACACTCAGCCAGACGCTGGGGGACCTTGGCAGATGGCAGAGACGATGATGCAGAGGTGGCCTGACGCACTGGGAGGGTTCTGTGTACCAGCTTCTGAATCTAGCAGAATTTGTAACCATAAACAGGGTTCCTGTTCTGAGTCTTAGACTCTTCACTTATAAAATAGGTAGAACTAGATTAACCATTCACCCCAAATTTTGCTGCTTAAAGGGCAACCCATTTATGAAGGCCAGGGAGGGACACAAGCTCCTTCCAGTTCAGTATCTGTGCTAGCAACAATCACCCCTTGAGCTGGCAAAGATCTTTCAGGTTTGGGCACAGAGGGTACAAGGCTAAGTGCTTCCAGGTGGGGTGCCCTGTATTCTTTACATCTTTCCCCATTTTCCATTGTCCAAAGGAGGTGTTCACAAGAGTCATTCTAAGACCCTATTCAGCTCTTCACATGCAGAGGGTAAGGAAAAACAGTAGCTGGCAATTTCATGGAACATTTTTCTGAGCTCTAAGCACAAATCCATCTTTCATGTGGGATGCTACCACCCATCAGCAGGGTGTGTTTTAATTATTATTTTAATTTCATGTTGGCAGAAAGACACTGTCAAGATAGTACCCTTCAAGGGAAACTCTTACTTTGGGGGGCTGTTTAAATCTCTGTGCTTTTGGCTCATGGCTTCTCAGCACATATGAAGCACATATTGGTTTCCTCCTAACTGTCCTCCGTGCAGTACTTACCTTCTTACTTGAGGAATCCACTGCACACTTCCTGAATGCATCCATGCCCCCTTGGGATGCTTAGAGTGGCCCTGAGAGGAAGGGCTACAAGCGCAAGTGTCAAGGGTACATGCTAGGTGGTATGTACACCAGGGCATGTTTATGCTCCTTATTTGACTTCTTTGAGTATCAACTCTCTGTACCAAGATTTACTTGAACTGATTTGTAGTAGTAAAACACTTTTTTTGTATTTCATGTAATTTTTTAGCTCATCTTCTGTAGACTGCTCATGGTAACAGCAATAAGGCTCGCATATCGGGCATTTCTCCTTTTATGAATTGAAATATCACGATACTAAAAGGCTGGTAAAAATAGAATTCAGCATTTAACATGACCATACCATTATAGCATTGATACTCAGGCTTTGCATTTTGACTTTCAAGGGATCTATGACACTAAATATTTACTTATGGGCCACAAATGGGAAAACAGTAATAGAAAATGTAGCTTTTCAAAATTAGCAAATGAACAATCAAAATAACAAAAACTAAAAAATTGCAAAATTCATTAATAAAGATTGCATAATTTTTTCTAAATATTATAAATATCAAAATATGTAAGAGAGTGGAAAATATAGATAAATCATGAATTCATCAAATCAGGCCACTCTGCACCTGAATTGCATTCACAAAACTTACAAACCTTAGGAAATTATCATATTTGGTCTTTTCATTGTATTTATCTGAAAGTTACACATGGCTTATCTAATTTAATATAACCTACAACGTGGTATTTATCCCTCATGTACATGTGGCAAGGTAATCACGAAAAATATTTTGGTGCTCAGCACTCTGCCCCGTTTTAAAGGCTAGCCTGATTGTGGTAAATTTATGCTGACTGAGAGCTACAAGAAGGGTTAAAACGTTACAGGTACAAGTCGGTGAGCCATTATAAATGTTACCTAAATAAAAGCCAGAAACAGGAAGCCAAAACCCAAGTCCCTAAGGCAGGCATGTGTCTTAAATGATATTATTTGTCAAGTTCCCAGCATCTTGCAGTGGGAAACACAGAAAGAAGGTCTGTGCTGTACTGAAGACACTACATCCTCATTAACTGCAATGTTCCTTAAGTCCATAATGCGGGATTTTCATTTTAGTAAGCAGCAGCTACTTGTCACTGCGTGTTCATTGAATAAATACGGAACACGATATTAATGACCATTTATTCTACTCCTGAGGAACTTCACTCAGGTGGAATCATACAATAACAATTTATAGAACATACTGTACAAACTTGTCATTTCTTTGCAAACTAATCCCTGATTTTTTTTTTTTTAATGCTGAAATCAGTCAATAGTAGTTATTGTCAAAGGGACCTGAAACGATATTCTTGGTCTTTTCTGTATGCAAAACAGAATGGAAAAATGGCATTTGGCTTTTTAGAAGACATGATCAAATTGTACTCGATTCTTGGGATGCCATACTTTCTTAAGAGGCAAGCTCTTTCCATCCTGCCCGGTCAGTGACCTTAAACCCAACATGCAGAGAAGGCCATGCTGAAAACCGAGAAATTATTTATCCACTGATTGTTCTACCCTTGCCCCTTCTCTAAAACAAAGACTGACAACAGCCCTGAATTATGGATGTACTTTTTGTGATACGTAATAGTGGAGAAGAAAGGTGTAGGAACCCTCACACGAGTTCACCTCCCATTAGAGGCTGGTCTTGAACAATAATCCCAGAGGATGAAACTGACGCTGAACTATGACCTTCAATTTACAAATCATTTTTCAAAAGAATAAAAAAACCTTTAAACATATTTTTGGCATTATCTGAATGGGCGGAATCTTTCATGCTTGTTTTCTAAGAATAAATGAAACCAGCATGCACTGTAGTTTCTCAGTTTGGGGACAGAGAGAACATGAGGTTTTCTGATTAAGTTTTATTTTAAACCTGGGTGTTTGAATTTTATTTTTACATAGCTGAATTTAGTATATTCCCTCAAAACATAATAAATTTCTATTCTGTAGCTTAAGGGATCCATCAGATAAAATGTTGGTCTTTCATCTTTATTACCCTCCCATTAAAATGAAAGAAACCGGGACTTACTTCAGTTTAGAAGAAGCAATTTAGTTGGTAATGTCCTCAGTCCTCAAGTCTTTACTGAGGGAGAAAGTGCATTATTGCTTAGATTTCACACATCTATCTGCATAAGAAGCAACTAACCCTCAGTTGCTTAGGTTTCACACATCTATCTGCATAAGAAGCAACTAACATACACTATGTTAAATTTAATAATATCCTTTGATTAGATTATTTTATAACAACATTTTTCCATTACCAGTCATTTTCTGAGCATAGTTACATTCATAAAACCTGTCCCCCACCACTCTGTTTGTGTATCGAAGGGCAAGGAAGCAGTCTCTTTCTGTTTTGCTACAGCTGTTAAGTCTGAAAGGGACAGATTAATAACTAAGCACCACACTGGACGAGCCTTTCTTGTCCCCTGCACAAGTAGCCCTTTGCGAGGATGAGGACACAAAGAGCCTCGAATCAGGCTGCTACCCTTCTTCATAACTCAAAAGCGTCACAGTGGCAATAGCCTCTAGTGCTATTTGTCTTTAGTGCAGTTGTGACACTTCGGCATGATCCATAATTTGGCAGCTATTTACCGTGACATTTCCCTTCAGTGCAGCCATAACATTCAGTGAAGCCATTATTTGGTTCCATTTACCATATAAATTGTATTGTTGTGCATGCATGCTAGCAGCTACATTAGGTACCTGAAAATGAGTAAATCTTGTAAAATAGATACTAACAGCTCTTCAGCAGTAGGATTTCCTTGCTCCTCAGATTCAAGAAAAGAATTAAATCTGGTCCCAACTTTCCCAGAGCACCTTTAATTACATTCCTCTTTACTGACCATGTTGGATCTTTCTAACTCAAGATTCTGAAAAATAATCCGGTGGGCTTCACCTTTAATTAGAAAGTGCTGTGGGATTTTGACTTAATGATGAAAGTGGTGGCAGTCTTTGTGGCACTGAAGGTTAAAAAGCAAGTGGATCAGCTGTGGCGTGATTCAGAAGAGAAAGCTACTTTTCATGTGGTCAGTAGGTGTGTGTGCGTGTTTGTGACATCTGGCAATGGTGACAAAGGGCATCTCACTCTACCAGGACACTGGAGAAGTAAAATGGGAATACAGGATCACTGACTGCTCTTCTGTATTTCCATGAACAGAACACAAACTCACATTCTTTGACTACAAGCTTCCAACAGAAGCAAATACATTACTTAGCTCACTTAGGTCCCTACTGTGGAAGGTGCTAAGTGACACACACTCACTCCCTCAAGCACATGAAGTACAGCCTTATTAACCCCTTCCTTACCTGTGCCTTCAGGGTGTGTTCCCTTCTGCGGTCCATGGTGTATAGCAAAGGCTCACTGTGAAAGCAGCACGTGCTTTTTCCTTTCCTGTGCATATATTAAAAGTCCATTTAAACTCCGTGGTTTCCCATTCTAAAACCTACTTCCTGTCTGTGTAAGTTTTCAACATTAAATGGCTTCTCCAAAGACCAGGGAAATTTTCTATTCCACACACCTTACTAGGATGATTGTGGATAAGCCATCGAACAGATTCTTCAAGATACATCTGTGTTTGCTGAGTCATTTTCTAAAAACAGGCAAATCAAATTTTGAGGAGACTTCTCCTCCAAATGTCTGTTTAGATAGTTGTTCGTGATTTATAGGAAAAAGGGTAGGGGGCTATTTCCTGAGGACAGACTGTGAAAATACATGGCTGACTTTCACTATGCCTCTCACTTGCTGACTACCTTTAACACAAGAGCAAAGTCTCCCTCAGCTAAGAAGACTCTGAATTGTTTTCAAGACTGATTTTAAAATCTCATCAAGCTGAAGACATACTGATTTGATCGGGCGCGGCATCAGGAATTAATTTACTTCCTTGGAACAATAAAATCTGGAATGAGACCGTCCATGACGAAAGAATCAAATGTAAATGTTTTACCTCTTAGCCATGGAAGGAACTTTTATTGGCACTTTTTTTTGTCCAACAGGGGAGGGAGACATCTACATTCATAACACCTTACTGTTGTTTTAAAAAATATTATATCCACTACCAACTAAAATAAATTGATTTGAGTAATTCTGAGGCATAAAGTACTCGCTTTCTTTCTCCTTTGATTTATGTCACTGTTCTGTTTTTACAGCTTACTGTTGACAGAGTGAGGTAATTCAACTACAATTTTTCCAGTGTTTTTTCCCATGTACATATAATCGACAGCCCGGAATATGGAGTTCAGGCCAGTAAACCTGCCCTCTGGAGACAGGTCACCCAGGTCCACTTCGCACGCCAGGTCCCCACTGGCACACAGCTTGAGCAAGTGCTCCATGGCTGCCTGATACTGGGAGAGGTAATGGTTCAGGAAAAAGCCACGGATGCTGGCAGATTTCTTCAGCAGTTTGACTGGCAAAGTTCCTGCTTTCACAGGCGAAAGGCCAGTAGGACTCTGGTAGCCAGAGATAAACCCAATTACTATCAAGCGCCCTTTGGTAGCCAAAGCGTCTACAGCCAAGTCAAACATGGCTCCCCCGACAGATTCATAGACCACATCGACACCTTCTGGGTACTCGGATTTCAGGACAGTTCCAACAGGCTCCGTTTTGTAGTTGATGGGACGGTCACATCCGATAGATTTCAGGAAAGCAGTCTTTTCATCAGAAGAACAGGTTCCAATTACATGGCACTTTGCCTTCTTTGAGAGCTGCACAGCAAACTGGCCCGTCCCCCCAGCTGCTGCTGTCACCAGAACTTTCTTCCCTTCTGACAGCTCTCCAAGCTCTTTCAGGCTGATGTATGCAGTGGTGCCACTTACCAGCAGGGTAAGATACTCTGGTTTCACTGAGGGCACTGGAGTCGCATGGTTGGCAGGCACAACTGTGTACTCAGCGAAGGAACCAGGGGCCATGTAAGCCACAGCCTGGCCCACAGTGTATCTGGCACTGGCAGAGAGGCCTAAGGCTACCACCTCACCGATTCCCTCAAAACCTATGTCAAAGGGGGGCTTCACCGATGGGTCATAGCGGCCAGCTGAATAGTTGATGTCAGATGCATTAATACCAACAAATCTAGAAGGAAAAAAATACACAAATGGATTAAGATGTTTTACTTGCTAAGGCTTGCATATTCTGCTTTGAAAAAAAAAATGTCTTTATAATTCTGATGGCTGGGGGCGGGTTGCCAGGCTATAGGATCTGATAGAATTTGCGAAAATTAGTCCTACTGTTCCACTGAAAAAAAGAAATCAAACACGTATTAGCTCAACAGTGATCTGTACTGAACTGTATCGTACTTTATTCTTTCCTCAATTTAGGAATAATTTCGTATGACTTGAATCACCCAGTGACTTATTTCACATGCCATTTATTTCTATCCTCTTGCTTTTAAAAGAAGAAATAAGAAAAAAGGAAAAAGAGAAAGGAAGAAAAAAGTCAGGAAATCCTCATTACAAACTTCAGTGGAGCTATGAGTTGGAAATTAATGGCCTCTGAACAAAAATGTTTAAAACAACACTGGGATAAAAGATAATCAAAGAAGTATACTTGTATTGATTCTGGCAACAACTTAACACTTCAGACAATAAAAATAATGACAGTGATATCAAAGACTGATGGAACATCCAAGGTCATCAGTTGCTACATGTTATTGTCCTGGTTGTTTCAAGCCGTTGCAGAAAATTTTCTCTCTAGTGTTAACTGTCCAGGGTAAAAAATATGCATTTTGATTAATTGAGTAGAAATGGGGAAAATAATTTTTATGGAACATTTTACAGTCCTTTTCAGATGAAAAGGAAGGCAAATTGTCGCTGTATTTTTCCTCAACAAGAAGCAGAGACATAACTTGATTAATACCAGATGATTAGTTTTATTTTGCTATCCAGAGTCAATTTAATTGTGAGCCTGGTACTTTTACCAGCTTTAAAAAAAAATCTCAGTCTATACTTCGTAACAAAAAATAACTGATACACACAGCAAAATATTTACTAAAAATATCAAGGTGGCTTTGACAGACAACCGAGGACCCTAAAAACGTCATTTCTACCTACAGTGAAATAAAAAGACCGTAGTGGCTGTTGGCAAAAAAAAGCGGTTAAGTAGGTCATGTTGAAAGAATTTATTTTTAATTTAACTTAATAAACTAAACTGCGTGAGGATATAGTTCCACTGGAATATACTTACTACTTGCACTTTGTACTTAAAACGCTCCCTTTGATTACCTTTTATCTACTGAGCAGAAAGTTCTCTACATAATGTGGAAATGAGGAAGCCGGGAACAGTTTCTCTAATTCAGGCTCCTCTCCGCAGTCTGTTCACCACAGGGTCCGTAACATGTTACAAAATTCCATACTCTAAATAATTCCGAGTAATGAGAAGTGCGAAAATGATTTTTGCGGATTTTTCATCTGGCATTTAATACCAAGATGCCTGCAATTTTTTTTTAGAGAAGAGTGGAGGGCCTGCCACTTTCCTTTAAGTTTGCATAATTCTCAGGGCCCGGCCTTCCGGAGAGGGGCCAGCTTCTCCCGAGCTTGCTCTGGACTCACAGAGCAAAGCCCCGCATCTGTGCGTCTGTCCTGCCTCGGGCTGTGCGCGAGCTCTGGGACCTGCGCTTGCGGGTGGAAGGGATGGGGGCTCCGCTCAGTGGAGAGGGGGCCCGGCCCAACCGGGCCTTTCTCCAGGCTGCTTCGCCCAGTTAACCCTTTCCAGCTCCCCCACGCAGACGGCGCGGCCCCTCCGCCGCAGCTCCCACCCCGGGCTGCGAGGGACCCGCTCGAGCCTGGCAGAGCGGCGGCCCTTGGGGCCCGCCCTCCCGCGCCTCCCGGCCAGGGGCGGGGGCTCCGCAGGAACAGCCGCAGGCCCCCTCCGCCCGGCGCGGCTCGCCGCCCCCGGGAGCGCAGAGGAGGGGAGAGTGGCGCACCGGCCGGCAGGCCGCAGGGAGGCGGCGCGGGGCAGGGGCGGCAGAGGCCAAGTTTGGGGAGGTGGCGTGGACTCTGCTGCAAGCACAGGGGCGGCTGCGGCAGGCAGCGCAAGTTTACCGCGGTGTGAAGCACCACCCCGTCGGATCCCGGGGTTACCGGCACGCGCCGCACAGGCAGGCGCCGGAGCCCGAAACCCACCCGCAGGCCCGCAGCTCGGCCTCGCCCTGCGCGCCGCCCCCGGGCCACCCCTCCCCTGCCCGCGCAGACCCCGTGACCCCTCCGGCCGGCCCGCGGTCCGGCTCGGCCTCCGCGCCGGGGGACAGAACCACACTCAATCCCGGACCGCCGGGCTCCCGCGGGTGGACTTGCTCTTCCAGGTTCCCAAGCAGGGCCACCGGGGCCTCGCAGCCGTCAGCGCCCCCGAAGCCGGCACCAGACGTGACCTTGGCCTCCGCGCGCCAGCTTCTGCCCCAGCCCGCGTCTTGCACACCGCGCCGTCGAGGAGCGAAGCCTGGGCCGCGCGTGCGGGAGCTAGTCCAGAGCACCGCACCCTCTCGGGTCTCCAGTCCGGGCTCGGCCTCCGCCTCCGCTAGACCCGGTTTCCAGGCTGCCGCTGCGGGAACTGGGCCCATGCTTACCTGGGCTTGGGGACTGGCGGCGCCAGGGTCTCCAGCCAGAGGTGCGGCTCCACCAGAAACAAGTTCAAGGGCAGAGCTGGCTCAGGCAAGGGCCCGCGCGGGGCCAGAACAGAAGGGAAAGGTGAAGGGCAAGAAAGGAAGAGGCTGAGAAGGATGCGCCGAGAGAGCGTCCCCGCAGCCGCCCCCCACGGTAGTTGAAAATGTGTGTTATAAAGAATGTAGGAGTCTAGCAATTCCACGAGAGGATCCACTGAAAAAGACTAAAATCCAGGGACTCCAGAAATAAGAATGGGACCTGGATGGCGGTCATCAAATGCAAACTCTTTCAGTTTATATGGACTAAAAAGTGCTGACCCCCTTAGTCCTGTTTATTGTGAAACAGGGAGACCCTGCAGAGGAGACAGAAATGCTTTCTTTTGAACAAAAACTAATTCGAAGACTCAAGTGCACAGCAAAAGCTTTCAATACTGGGATACCAAACAAAATCGTTCAAACCAGGCTTTTAAAAAAAAATTTAAAAAGGGGGAAAAAAAAGAAAGAATAAAGAAATCTCTGCCTGTAGAGTGAACAGAAATATTTTTACCCTTCCGTGAGCAACAAACCGTTTATCATAAAAAGCCTTCACTACCCCCATCGTCTTTTCGCCATTCCTGCAAACTCTCTGCTCCATTATCGTACACTTGAGCAGAAAATCGTTACAAATATTTGGGAACGAAATCATCTGTCACCCTCTTACGAAAAAGTTAAAAATACCGAACCAACTGATTTGACCGAGGGGTGCTCCCAACTTGCAAAGAGGGGCAGATCAGAAGTTGTCCTGCGTGCAAGCAAGCAGGGCGGTGGAAAGGGTGAAGGAACATCAACTACACATTCTAGTAGGGTCCACTACAGCCCTTCTCCTGTCTCCCCTCAGTGGTTACCCTTCTTATTCTAAATCGAGGTCTAGCTTACAAGCACTTCCATCCTTGTGAATAAAGAATTTGTATTTTCTGTTAAGACAAATGAAATGTTCAAATGTTCACTAAAAAAAAGTCAGATAGAGTACAATTAAAACCCCCAAATACCCTTCCAAAAGAGAATCTGGGCTTTATCCATTCACTCCAGAGCAGATTTTATTATGATAATGATGAGAAATACTTGCACAAAATTGTAATGCAATTAACACTGCTCAGAGGGAGATTTGATCTAGAATTTAAATGAACTAACTTGCAATAAATTATTAAACCTTTCTTCCTAAAAATTGGTAAGATGCTACCTCTACTGGAACTGTGTGAAAGAATAAGGGGTCTTTCTGTAATTTGGTGGTAGCAGCAGACTTTACGACGGAGCAGGGAAGGGGTGGCTAACATTCCTGCCCCCTTCCAACTTGCACAAAAGTGGTTCCTTTTTTTTTTTTTTTTTTTCTGGATTCAAGATAGAAGTTAGAGTTCAAGTTGTTCCTATTTATATTAAAGGCATTCTTGGCATATGTGGATGGAAAAAAGAGGCATGGATTTTAAAGCAACCCAAACTGATGCACCCAAAAGTGGCAGCCGGTGCTCTAGCGCTGGGACCACTGAAGTCAGGGGGTCCATATCCCTGGGCTTTGGAACCAACCAGTGCACCCCGTTGAGAGAGAGAGAGAGAGAGAGAGAGAGAGAGAGAGAGAGAGAGAGA